CTTGGCAATTGCTAGCATAATTTAGGGATGTAGATGAATAGAAATTGTTAAGTGATGAATTGCTAAAATGGATGATGTGGCGGTAGGGACCTCATTTAGAAACTGTTGTTCAATTTTAGGGATGAAGATGATCAATACACTAACCCAATACCATATACTCTAAACCATCAACACCTTATACAATATCGTATTTTAGGGATGGAGATGATCAATACACTAACCCAATACCATGTACTCTAAACCATCAACACCTTATACAATATCGTATACCTATACGCTGATAAATTAAAATTATAACTTGCTTTTCAAAACATAAATTAAAAATTGATACTCACTAATTATCGAACCACAAACCTCTACTTTATTGACTAAGCAAATAACAGACAATTAACCAATTAAGCTACATCACATTGATGACCATCTTGCATAATTTCGCTTTCTTATTAAGTGAAGGGTTAAAATGAACGATAAATATATCACAGGGGATTGTTTCAACTTCGGCGGGGACTGAGAGAGTGGAAAAGGGGTAATTATTCTACCAAAAAAGAAAAGAAAAGGGGGAATTAACGAAGAGTTAAATTGGACGGATTGTCTTTAGCACGCCACTACCACCCAAAATCTTCGGAGCAAAGACATGTTGGTTCAAGTCAAAGAATAAATGAAGAAAGATGAAGTTAAGAACTCTAACTAATTTTGATTCCATATGTGGCGAATCGCTAATGGGTGGGATAACCAACATGACAAAATCGTTAATGAGAACCTACTTTGCACACATCAAATCATTTTATCTCGTACCGATAAATGTGTAAAGAGACACGCTACAATAATTATGTCTAAATTTCCTGATAATAAGGCATGATCAGCATTTATAAGAAGATGTTAAGACAATATAAAATCGAGAAAAATAAAACAACAGCTACCCTCAGCCGAATCAATCAATACAATATGCTCTGGGCCATCAACAATTCAACACCTTATAAACCATCCCATATACCATATACTCTAAACCATATACTCTAAACCATCCCATGTACCATATACCATATACTCTAAACCATCAACAACCTAATACACTAACCAGTCAGTAATCATTAACTTAACCAAAACACCTTATACAATAATCGCATACCTATACGCTGATAAAATTTTACATTTTGAAAATACTTGCCCAAGTAAAGTACACAAGTACTTCAAAAGTGAAATTCTAACTTTCGTTTCAAAACATAAATTTAAAAAATGTCCTCACTAAGTATCCAACCACAAGCCTCTAATTAGTCTACAAGAGGTTTGTTATGTCAAGAGGGGCAAACAGTGAGAGAGTGGAATATGGGCAATCAATAAAGAGTTAAATTGGACGGATTGTTTTTTACCTCGTACCGATAAATGTGTAAAGAGACACGCTACCATTTACCGAATCCCAAAAAAAAGATGGAACACATAATTGTGTTTAAATTGCGTGAACGCAAGACATGATCAGGATTTAGAAGCAGACACAGATGTAAATAAAAGCCCAACCTCTTCACAATCCGGATCATGTACACAAGCCCACTTTTGAAGGGAATTTAAAAGCCCAACTAGACTTTGTCCTAAACGCACCGTTAATACATAAACACAAGTTAAGGCGACCTCTCCATCCGATTCGAATCAAATCCTGTCTTCTTCATCTTCTTCCTCAATTAGGTCGAAGACTGTGTTGTTTATTTCATCTTCAATTTGTGTAAATTCCGGTCGGAAATATAATGGCGAAGAACAAAAAGTCGATTGTGGATACAAGGAAGTGATGATTATGTGGGGATTTTTGATTCCGGTCGGAAATAAAATGGCGAAGAACAAAACGTCGATTGTGGATACAAGGATTTGTGGTTCAAAATGATGATTATGTGGGGATTTTAGATTGAAAAGGGATCTTCTCTTCGAACGTGGATACATAGATTTGGGGTTCAAAACATGATGATGTTGGGGATTTGATATTGGATTGGGAGCTAAATCGAATGTCGATCAAATGATAAAAAGGATTTCAGATTTCAGAAACGATGATAAAAGGATTATGTTCGAACTTCGAACTAAGAGGGGACATCCCCTCCAAGACGAATGAGGGACTAGAAATTGGTTAGGGCGGCGGGTCTGATAGACCGATAATTACACTTGTTTTCACCCCTATTCTGAAGCCGTTTGTGATGTGGAATCTCGTGTTTTAAGCCGATTTCACGCTAGGTTGTGTGTTTATGTCATATTTCAGGACCCGACGTTGGAATCGAGGCGGAGAAACGAGTTCTAGGACGAAAGGAGCGAAGTTGGGACGAAGGAGGCTGATGGATGAAAATACCCGGCCATGACCAAGAATACCCGGCCGGGTATTATTCCTTTGGGCGCCCCGTGAGAAACAGAAGGGGGCCCGGGCAATTGGCTAAAATCCCCGGTCGGGGATTATAGAGTCAGACCGGGGATTTTCCCCAAGATGAAACGGCGCTTTTTGTATATACCCGGTCGAGACCCGAAATACCCGACCGGGTATTTCGACCGGGTATCGCGATCTGGCAGCTGATAAAAGGAAAAGAAGGCCAACTTTCAAGGGTTCCGAGTTTTTGAGAGAGAAAGCGATTCCTAGAGAGAGAAAGCGACGAACCAGAGTTCCCAAGCGCCATAGCTTGATTTCATCACCATTGGAGCCCGGCTTGAGCTTGGAGAAGTGCCGATTAAACGTCCAGGAGCAGAAATCCGTCTTCACAGTATGATTTCCGCGTCTGAATCTGCTTTTGCTTCTTTCTCTATGGAGTAGTTCCCCCATTCATCTGGGTATGGGGAACTCTAGATTTGTATGCTAGGTTTGATTGTATGAACCCAAGTACAGAGTTTGTGAATTGATTATATTCGATTGAGGTTTGAATGATTGAATCACTTGAATCCTGATCAAATTCCTGTTGTTTCTGCTTTGACCTAGAATGAGAATATCTGCCTAGGTTGATAGAGTACCCTTAATTGAAGGTAGCGAATTGGTGACTTTGATCGAGGAGCCAATTCGCTATTCTGTACCGAATTCAATTCGGTAGTGGAGGTTTGGTTCGTTAGGGCCTCAATCTGTTTACTCCGGTGGAGGTTAGTCGCCCGCTCGAGACTCAGATTGAGAGGGTCTGAAGACTTTTAGTCGAGACTTCAGACTGAGGTTAGTCGCCCGCTAGAGACTCAGATTGAGAGGGTCTGAAGACCTTTAGTCGAGACTTCAGACTGTTTGAGAACCTTCCGCAGTATAACTTTCATAAAAACTGAACTTGGTAAATTACAATCCGGCTTAACTGCAGTCTAGGGGGAACCATATCCGGGTGACCTCTCTTAACTTGAAAACAACCGTTTAGTTGCTCTGCTTGCTTGTTAGTTTAGATCTTCACTAAAGTTTCATTGCTAGATAATACGAATTCACTGAGTAGTCATCACATCTAGGACCCGGGTTGACATTAAAACCCAAACCCGCTATACTACGCTTTAGGAAGTGGTTACACTTGGCCATTTTCTAGATTGACAGTAGGAGTGAGTCAGGGTCGTATCCATAGGGTTTAACCTCTTAATCGATATAATTAAACCGGGTAGAGTTAGGTTGAAGTCCAATGAAAAACGCTTAAACGCTTCGTGATGCTTTTGATAATTTTCCTTCCCCTGGTTACCCGTACCCCGGATTTTGTCCTGGGCACCGTAGAACTGCCCATGCCTTCTACGGTACCCCGGGTGAAATTCGGGGTACCGCATACCTTGAATATGAAAACGCTATCCAGACCTCGAATTAGCAGGATGTTTGGGCATGATACTATACCCTAACCCTTAATGAGTGAACCCTAGGTCCTAATTATCTAAATCATAAACTATAAACCCTAAGATGGTTCATTCATTTTTTGCCTATATTTGGACGAATCACAACCGTCGATTATTGTTTCTAATTAAATTGATCTTGGAGTATAAGATTTAGAGAATTAAGACCTAGATTTTGATCTTTAAGGGTTAGAGTATAGTATCATGTCCGAAAGATCAGTCAATTCAAGGTCTGGATAGCGTTTTCATACTCAAGGTATGCGGTACCCCGGATTTCACCCTGGGTACCATATAACTCCCCACATATATATATATATATATATATATATATATATATATATATATTATGGTGCATACATTCATTACAATACATCAAATTTAATTTTTAGAGAAAGTATGAAATGAATTCAAAGTTCAAATATGCATGGTATTTTTGATAATTCGATGTAAAGTCACATCGGTATTTTAAAAAACATCTTCTAACAGGTCGCACGTTTCTTCATGTGGCATTTTGTTTGTTGAGAGGGACTTTAAAATGTGCTAATACTAATGCCCTTTATGTTTGTGTGAACCATAATCTAGAGATCACCTATTTTTTCGATGTTGATGATCATATGTTCAACATGTCTTAAGGGTGGTGCTGGCTCCAACTTGGAACTATACTATAGTGCATGATATCAAGAAGGGGTTGCGGGAAGCCGTTATACGATTCCAGTTTTGCAAAGTGGGTCGACTAGTGTGGAATATGGCGATTAATGAACTCTAGCTTGTTTGAGGAGAAAGCCATTATATATAAAATCTACTTAGAGGATAATTAGCTAGCGTATCAACACAATACTAGTGATAATTTGGTGTAGAGTAGAATCAATTATGAGATTCTTTGTGTTTCCCGTTCACATAAAAAATAATCCGCGGATCGAATTTGTAATGTGGCATCTTTTTCAAAGGGAAGAAAGATGTATCGAAATCGAACTTTGTTGGTATGCATATAAATAAATAGTACCTACCCACCCCACACGATATTATATATACTGTCACATGCACAATGTCCTTTGCTGTACTTATATATTGAATTGAATGCCACAAACTTTCTGGTCTCTCATATATAACGTACATCATATCGCAGCACTTTCTCCACCTCCACTCTTATTTCCCCCTTTTCCCGGCCGTAACGGACCGTCGGCCGTGGACCTCACCTGATGTCCGGCGTGTGGATATTCGACCGGCGAGGCGTGGCTCGTCTCATCACTCACCCCACCAGAGAGTCGTTCGAGCAGAGGCCGGACCATCAGCCCGGTACGGCCACCGCACCCGGGGCCAGGCCACGTGTCCTCGTCTACCTCCCGGCCAACCAGGTGATCCGATCGTACGACGAGCTGGAGCAGCGGCTGGGGGAGCTCGGTTGGACCCGCTACCGGCCCAAAGTCGACGGGCTCGTCCAGTTCCACAGGTCCGCCTCCACGGCCCACCTCATCTCCTTGCCCAACCGCTTCTCCGATCTCAAGCCTTTCCATATGTACGACATCGTCGTCAAAAACCGGTCCTTCTTCCAAGTTCGCGATCCCTGCTAAACTAACTACGGTTTGAATCAATGATGATCAGTTCTACTTCACAGTTTTTAAGACTTTGCATGCTGTTGTACGTTTACTACTGTGTGTCTTTTGTTCTCTAAATGATCGATGGATGTTGTGCGATCGATCGCGGTCACGATGAACAATATGGAAAAGGGGTTATAATTTTCTTACGGTTACGAAGCGAAGGTGTCAATGGCTATATAGTTCTCCGTTTTCTCTGATCTTCAACCCTTTTAATTAGGAGTTTCGAATTTTAATTAATTTAGGGATAATTTTGGTTTGGTTTGGTTTGGTTTGCTACTATATTTTTATTAATTTTTGTTTTACATTGTTGGGTTTAATTTGATTATTAATTTTTGTCAATGGTACGGCATTTGACGGATCGATCGTGTGACATTCATCTAGACAAGTAGTATTTGTGGTATTTTCCCGTCAACTCTAGTAATCAATTAACAGTAGATGTCACAATTATCATCAAAACGTAACATCATGTAAAGCGTTAACAACGGTTAGTAAAATATTCACGTCTTCCAATGATGCTAATCCTTAATTTATTTCAACAAATTCGATCCGTCAAAAAATCTCATTGTATATATATATATATATATATATAGCCCCACCTTCTACAGTACAGATGGTCATCATGGAGAACACATGGAGGAAGTACGACTAAACTGTTGAATGTTTCAGTTGAAACGTACCCTAGCTAACCCCCCTTGGCTTCTTTCCCATCACTCTTTGACTAGAAAATATCTTCTACATAGCCTAGCTAAGAACGAAGAACATAAGCACCTTGTTTCATTTAATTATTAATCTTTGGTAAGACACACACACACATATATATATAGTATACTGCTAATTAGGGTTTATGCAGATAGAAGTAAGCATCTCATCATGATCATCAACAAATTAACAGATCAGCTAGCTAGCTAGCTTCACTCTATTGACCGTAGGGTTGCATGCAAAAGCAAAGAAGAGAAAAATGGCGATGCTGAATTGGTGATCCCTCAGCTATACGTTTAGTAGGTGGGGGCTAGCTAGCAAGTAGCCTTTTTGAAGGAGGCTAGAGATCACGAGCCAGCCAGCCGGCTATACAAGTGAGAACCCGCAGGCGCAGAAGCAAGCAAGATTGGTGCTGCTGTGCTGTGCTGTGCTGTGGAGGCGGGACGTCCCATTCTCCACGTCGGCACAAGGAGTAGTGCAGCAGCTTTTTAATTGATATCGATCTCTCTTGTTGACTTCTCTCTTTGAATATATGTAAAGACTTTTAGCTAGCTAGCTAGCTAGGGTTGCAGCCTACGTATACTAATATATAGCTACCTACCTACAGCTCTACCCCTTGTGCCCAAGTACTCTTTTTGGTTTGGCTGTTTAATCAGAGCAGCAAGCATACATTACAATTACATGCATCTTTCGTTACAGTACCATTACACTTTCCTGTTATTAAGTGCTTCCTATCCTATTGCATTTGGTTACCATTTACCAACTTAGCGTTGGGATCAGAACGGACTAATAAACGAGTCGTGATGTGTTAACGAATAGGAATTGGAAAAAAAGATATTGCTTTTGGTTTCGCAAACAGTACTGTAACCAACTAACTATATGGTTTGCTTCTAGTTCTAGATATATGGCGGGTTTTCATTCAGCCTGCCTCATTTGTATCTTTGTGCATGTGATTTGGTGATGGGACTTCACACAGGCACACAAAGCGGGGACTGGGGGCCAAAAGACTCATCATGAGACTGAGAGACCACCGGCCCAGCCGAGCCGAGTATATATATATTTAGGTACTTGTAGTTGCACATCCAGGAGGTATAACAAATATCACTTACTTCTGCTAGATCCAGAGATCAAAAAGACATGCAACTGCAAGAAGAATCGAAAGCAAGCAAAAGTAGCGAAGAGCTAGCACCACATTAATACCAGTACGTAGCTACTTAATTTCAACAGGGGTAAATAGAGCAGACCATCAGGCCCTGGTGCTACAAACAGAACACCAACACCTCGCCAAGTCACCGAGCCTATCACAATGGCATAACCTAATGGAAATCCACCTCCAGAGGACAGGTCTATTATATGAAGGCTAAATTATTCAATAGAAGAGCTGGAGTTCGTGCTTCAGGAGTTGCCATTCCTGCGGGAAATGCTAATTAATCTGGATATCACTCCTGACTTTATCAATATGACCACAAATGACTTCATTTTTAATTTCTGGTTTAATTTGAATACAAAACATCCTCATGATCATCTCAAGAGGTTTTGCAATATGTGTGATACTATGGAAAAATCTGGGAGTCTCAAATGATGCTATTTGCCTAATGATGTTCTCTTCTCTTTTAGGTCGTCGTGTTGCACATTGGTTTCAAAATCTTGCACTCAGATCCATCACCACATGGGCGCAACTAGAGAAGGCTTTCTTAGCAGGTAAATATTTCCCACCTGCGAAAGCTATGAAGCGCCAGAAGGAGATTGTGGAATTTGAGCAAGCTGATGATGAGGGTCTCAATGAAGCTTGAGACCGCTAGCTATAAGGTACTACTACTCAAGTGCCCAAGTCATGGTTTGGAGGAATGGAATGTCATACCATCTTCTTTGACGGTATCAGAAGAGAATTCAGAGAGCCTCTTAAGAATGCTTATGCAGGATATTTCACTTCTATGGAGTCTCTTGCTGTGGTGCTGCCTATGATCTCATTGAGAGGATGTGTTCAGATGCCAATGAGTGGGGTGCATGGAGAGAAGAATCATTGAAGGAAAGGTGGTATGCATGCAGTTGATAAACTTGTTGGTTTGGAAGCTCAAATTGAAGCAAAATTTGATGCACTAGCAAGGTAAGTGACTATCTTGTCGCTTGTTTCCGCAGAGAAACCTATTGTTTGTGAGGTACTCACCATCTAGATCAGGGAGGGTGGATAAAGATTTCAGAGCTTTTTTAGAAAGAAGAGGGAGAAGAAAGTCAGAAATGTTTTCCCCAGGCTGTGTCATTCATCGAGACGAGAGGGAAGAGGAGAAAATCAAAATATAAGGGTGACTTTCGGTTATCATCCGGCTGACCGGGTAACCGTCGGTTACTAATCGAGTATAACTCAATATATCGACAACTAATTTCACTACAAGAAACAGAGCCTTTTGCGACAAAATAGTTCGTCACTAAAAGTTTGGAAATTCGTCGCAGAAACATATAGCGACGAATTTGGGCGTCGTCAAATCTGCTTTGCCATCACTACAGAAATACTGGTTTTTAAACATATTCACGGGAACCTTTCCTGTACTTAGAAGTATACTAGCTGTCACAGGAAAATTTCCTGTAATTGATTGTATAGTTCTAATCACGGGAATTAATTCAACAACTTTTTAGTCTTCATTTCCAGTGACTAATTGTTAGTCACGGTTAATTACCATGAACAATGTGACTAGCAATTACTCATGGTTAATTATCGTGGACAATGTACAATTTATCGTCTTACATTTTAAATGAAAATTAAGATGAATTAAAAAGTATATGACTATTTATTTTGTTAGGATGATAGAAGCTGCTTTCACATTGACATAATCTCTTACTTAGCATTTCATGATGTACTTCGTTAGGAAAGCAGTGTGTAGGACTATTTCTATTTTCATTTCATTAAAGAACATCATTTGTAATGAATTTGTTTTGGCTATTAAGGGGACATCATTTGTAATGACTTTCGGCTGTCTCATTTCATTTGTAAAGAAAAAAATTATGTGTAATTAATTAGGGAAAACCTCTTTTATATACCGCGACCGAATGTTGGTATGTCCACACATGGGAGAATCAATTAAATATTGTAATCAAATGTTAGTATTTAGACATGGGAAAATCAACCAGATATTAAGATGGATGAACATCCGGTCACGGGAAAAAAAATTCTCACAGTAAATACTGTGTTAAAGTCTCAACATCCCGTCTCTAAATGAGTTTTTCCCTCGATTGTGAGGCAAGACTTTATATTAGTCAGGAGGCTTCCCGTGATTAATAGCTATAAATTATCATGGGAAATCATACCGTGACTAGTTTACTAGTCACAGTATAAATTTCCCGTTACCTTTACAATTAAACACGGAGGTATATATTACGGTACTTTCCCAAGACTAAAAATATTAAACACGGGAAACACACTTTCAGACACGGAATTTACATTTTATAGTGATTAAATAGTCTTTTTCCTGTAGTGCATCGTCGAGTATACCGCGTCACCATAGCCTTTTGCGACTAATATACGACGTCGTCGCAAATAGTAATTTTCGTCACAAAATAATCCAAGCATACGGAGAATTCGTCGCATAAGCTATCTTTTCGCGCCGATTATGTTCGTCGCAGGTGGAATAGCGACGAATTAGTCGTCGCGAATATGTGTTATTATAAGACAAAAATTAGCGACGAAATTAGTCGTCGCGAATATGTGTTATTATACGACGAATATTGTTGTCGTTGTATATCAATGCTTTGCGACGAGTTAATTCGTCACCAAAAACATGTACACTCAACTGTAAACTCTTTGGGGACGATTATATTCGTCTCCAATACTGACTTTTGCGACGAAAGTGTTCGTCCCAAATTAGGGTAAATTGCAAGGTTGGTCACTGAGATTACAAAAAACGTTTATGTTTGGTCACTAAAAATATTTAATTTCATTCGTGGTCACTAAGTTTAGTAAAACAGTCTAAATTTGGTCACTCTCCGTTAGTCTCCGTCGACCTCCGTTAAATAAGACCGTTATGTGTTAATGCGGCTAACAGATCGAATAACCTAGTCAACTTATTTTAATCCAAAAAAAATTAAAATTTGACCCGCCACGTCATAAAACCTAATCCAACGGGTGACCCAAACATAACCATGCATCCGAACAAAAAAAAAATCGTGACCCAAACATACCCACCCGAACTAACAAAAAAATACATTGAATCCCCTATATATTCCTTTCTTCAACCTCTGAAAGTTTTGAATGCAGGAAAGAGCAATTAACTTCAAACAGT